ATATGTAATGCCCGCCGATTTTTACTATGATGCTTATATGATGCTTATACCCTTTAACGGTGAATCACCTCTTAAATCAAATATTTCTAAATCGATAACCAACAATAAAGGATGATGTACGTACGTACTTTATTGAAGTCTATTCTTTGAGAAATTCGATTACACATTAACTTTATGTATAAGGAAATCGTTGTTCTTAGATTTCTTGCATCATACAGTATATTGTCCAGATATGTAATCTGATAAAACATATATGGTGTACTTCCTTATATGAGTACCTGGGTACTAAGTAAATTAGGGATATACTTCGGATATACGACTCCGACGGGACATTATAAAATGAATTGAAAATTTTCGAGTAAAAAAAAAAAAACAAAAAATATCGATATTTCTTCTTGAAAAGAGAAAAAAAAAACCTAACCAAAAACAAAAATCCAAAACCAAAAAAAAACAAAAATAAAATGTTTGCTATTATTGAAGACTTGTTAAAATTCGTGGGTTTTGGCACTCAAAGTTAGTATATCTATTATTATTTGTAAAATTATTGTATTTGGTATTTTTAAATTAATCTTTATAAATTAATTTTTGAAGAAAAAAGAGAAGAACAGATGCTAACTTCACCAAGAGCTGCACCTGGAACGAGAATATCCAATATATACCATGACGATGCTGAAAAGCCAATCGGCAAATATTGCGATCAGATTGATCATAATGATCCTGCTTTTTGCCGTTTCGTAGAAGAAACTATTTATAAAACTCAAGATAAAACTGAAGATAGAGAAGAAAATAATTTAACACCTAATTGATTTTTTATTTTTTATTTTTTTAAATTTAAAAGAACGTTTTTTTTTTTTATAATAGTGAAAGTTTTAATTGTTTATTTCAACCGTAAAAAATATTATTATGCAAACTTTTTTATATTGTATATATATAATAGGATTTTTAAAAACATTAATTTTTTTTTTCTAAATTTTTTTCATTATAACGCTTTTGTTCGTGAAATTCAGTTGCTTCATTAAAACTTAGAAATGATTCTGACATATGAGGTGTAATACAAAAGCCATTCATTACATTAACTCTGTTTTTTAAAACGAAACAACTAATAAACGTCAGTAATTCTTTTGAAGTGCATAAAGATTATCAAAAAGTAACATGAAATCTGTAACTTTAGCCAATCGGAATTTTTCCAGTTAACTTTAAGGGTAGGGTGTACAAATTTCCAATTTCATATAAAATAGATTGTAGATCAACTTTGTGTAACGAATTTTAT